CCAGGAAGTGATACAATTGGCCGGAGAGGTATTGATTTTTTGTGTACCTTTGTCTGTAAATGCTTTTCTTGACTTGATCATGTTCATGTAGGCCTGAGAAAGGGTTCTTGGACTGGCACGTGAGTAGATTGTGACTTTGTGGAAATGGATGCGTGTAAGTAAATGCTTTTCGTGTCTTGATCATGTTCATGTAGGCCTGAGAAAGGGTTCTTGGACTGGCACGTGAGTAGATTGTGACTGGAAATGGACCGGAGAGGTATTGATTTTTTGTGTACCTTTGTCTGTAAATGCTTTTCGTGTCTTGATCATGTTCATGTAGGCCTGAGAAAGGGTTCTTGGACTGGCACGTGAGTAGATTGTGACTTTGTGGAAATGGATGCACTCGGTGTAAGTAACTAGAAGGCCAATTTTACGAGAAAGTCAGCCTTACAAGGGTCTTGTTGTCACGTATGGGTAGAGCAATTAATTTGATTCAGAATAAATAAACATATGTGGGATTTGACTAAAGAATCACAAATATCACTCTCTGTGGCAAGAGAAACTGTTCACCAATCAACATCCTTAAAGCAGGAAATTAGCTGTTGCAAGCATGCTGGCGTGTTGAACACGCCAATCCTCATCTATTGCAGATCCAATGATGAACCTTCGGTGGGAGGGCAATGATAAGACTAAATGATATGATACTTATTGCCGTTCGATAGATGAAACCAAGTACTTGGGATGTTGCCACTTATTGTTCAACAATCCATATTCAAGTTCAACGTTACCGTTACCGTGAAACCAAGACGGTCGTCCGGGACTATACAACTCCTTGAAGGGTTGAGTAAAAGCTATGCTGGGTAGACGTGTTTTCAAAATCTTTGCCTGCACTATTGTCTGACCGAGGTGCGCCCTCAGGGCCATCCACGGCGCAATCACAAAACTATTCCGAATAGACGTTTTCATCCTCCTGAAGAGCCGAGAATTAACTTTTGGACGTTATACCCTTATTGAAAGTCATGGGTAACGTGCATATTAACTTTATCAAGAAGAAATCAACCCTACTTATTCCCGGTTCGTAGTAGAAAACTGCACCAACGAACCAAAGCCGACTCAAAAACACTATCAGTAACTCAGACATAGGCAGGATACGGGGACACTGTCGAACAGTCACGAGGATCATATGGCTCGCTTCGATATTAACCAGAGCCGTCTCCAGATATAAAGCACTTGGAATCAGACCTGTGAGATCACATGCTTTTCGAAAAAAATGCAGTTCGCCTTGCCACCGACCCTCACACTTGGTTTTGACCCGACGATTAGTGTGAATGTCCGATCGAGTGTTCACGTCCAGACAGACTGGAGGAACACTGCTGTCGTGCAACAAGGAGCACAGGATGCAAGACTAGTCAGAGAAAACGGGCATGTTTGCCTCTAGAATATGAGACCTTAAAAAGATATCCTTGGGCCTTCAGCACTGGCCAGTACTCAATTAACATAAACGTGCTATACAACCCTAGTAAGGCTTCTAAGATGTTTTTTTAAAGCAAAAATGTATTAACTGGAATTGATTTACATTAAGTTGTCCATGTGGTATAATCCTTTGCTTTAAACTAAATACACCTGTCCTTTGTCGCCGTAAGCTCTAGGTTTGCAAATTTCGTCCTACCTATTCGAGACCCCATGTACATAGTTTCGAAAACGGCCACACTTAAGGTACCCTGTTTGTGCTGGTGCTTTAACTAGGTAATTTTTCGAATTTTCCGAAACTACGTATGTTTTACCTGATACACCAATACCCAACTCACTTTGCAAGTTTATCACAGCTTCCAGATTGTACTTGCACCGGAAATGCATCAGTACAGTGTTTTTATCAATTGGCTAACTTAAACGCACCAAAAAACACTGAATTCTTCAGTCGTACTTTATACAAGAAATGAAACTATGTGCACTACAATAGATCGTGCTTCATTGGTAAACGTGAAAATTGCTTCGTTGTCCAGTCCCTGTTAGAATGTTTCAAAAGACTGATCCACTTTCCCTCCATACACTCCTCTAGCTTCCGTGGGCACTGCTACGTCTAATTTCTGCGTTCTTCATTTGATCTCTAAATGCCTTCAATGAGGGAGAAGCAAACAGCATGCAGACCCCGAAGTTCCCCCAGATTTTGGCACCACCATTTTGAGAATTTACTTTTTAAAATTATTGCGGTCGCTCCAGCTAAACTTTTTCATCGAAGCAAACGTTTTGGAACCCTTTGGTAGTGACAAAACAACTTGCAGAATTTAACTGATCAGATTGTCTTCAGTACTGTTCAGCATCATAAACGGTAGATTCAGCTGGGTTCCAGGTGAGTTTCAGAAAGCCGAAATTGTTTGCAAATGAGTGTGTTTTTCTAATTTCTTGCAATTTGGGTTCAAACAGGGCATGATGACGAAAATTCAAGGACTGTGCCTACTTGATGAGCCCCAAGAAGGCTGAAGGCGGTCGTGGACTGTCACAGTTTTCAACAGTCTATACATGGTTCTTTCCACCTAATCCGCATAACGTTTGCTTGCGAGACGGCAGAGATTAAAGGTCAACAGACATATTGTAACATATTGTCTCAAGTCAAGTCCAGTGAGATGAACAAAGGAGAAAAATGTCTATAAAACTACAGTAAATAGGTCGTCAAGTCATACAGTGTTCACCCTGAAGTTTGCAAAATTCTGACAAGATCATTCTCCGTAGACAATCATTTGGCATGCGCAGCAATTGGCCGAGGTTCCACAAATGATGGGGTTAAATATTTTGTCTAACTGAAGTTACCGTTGCTCAACTAAGTACCAGTTTTCTAATTATCCCGTTAGAAATTCATCAGTGCCAGGCGATACCCTCAACACGGGAGACAGCGGTGGTCTAAACTCGTGGGCGTCTCAGATCACTTGCTCGCCTAGGCTATATTGTGCAGCTATGTGCAACTCGAAGGAACCAGTGATACAATTTTTGGTGCTACGAGTGGCACAGGCTTTTAAATGTGATTTAGACCCTTTGGATTTGTACACTGAATTCAACAGGCATTTCATTCCAACTTATTTCAGTTGCCAAAGTATCTAAACATATTGATAAACATTAGTGCCTTTCTTTGATTTGCAATAGATATATTCTCAGGCACGACTTAAATCTTTATAGGTGGCTGTTTAACAACGGGGATACATTTTTCTGTCTTCACGAGGATGTCGCCTGCCTACCCAAGATCGACAATATTATCACCAGGACACTTTGCTTACCGAAGTTTTGAAGAACCTAAACATTCGTCTAGTTATTTCACCGATGACACAAGTGAACAAAACCTGAGAAAGTGCTCATCCCTGGTGCATTCTACCTTTTGAGGGAAGCACTTATGCACGGACATACTCGAATATCATGAGCGGACTTCTGTAAATGTTCCGTTTGGCATGTGTGACTAGAAGTACTGACTGATTGGCAGAATCAAACGCACTTTTGAATTCAAGATAAGCCTAAATTTTGAGTCTTCTTTAAGGAGCATCAGGTTGCTGACGCAACATCGACGCTGTCAAAATGCCGCTTGGGGCTCACAGTTTGAGGTTTTAAATGCTGCCTCAAACCGACGAAAAACCGGTGATTGCAGAAACTCTTAAAACGAAAGTAACCACTGCATGCAAAGCAAGTATCCTTTTGAGGATGGACTCTACTATTAGTTGTCCCGGATGGTATCTTTATTGCAGGCACACATGGATACATTAGGCTGACAATAATTAGGGAATTTACATGCGTTTGTTAATTGAGCAGGCATAGCGTCGTCGGGGTTACGGGTACCGTAATAATTGAATAGAGCTACACATAATATACTACTGCGGTGAAAGTTACTCGCATATTTGCCATTCACGTTTCTGCCAAATGTATAAAATCGGGTGGCCAGCTGGAGTGTTGTGCAAAGTTTTCTGTTCAACGGTCCCGATGATCGTTTGCTGGATGTCAGGGAGCCAATAAACTTTTTGATCGATTCCTACTATTTCCCGAGCAAACCAAACCAAACAACCTTTGGACACTGTTATCATTTAGCCCTCCCTCCATCTCTCCGACCTTCTGGATATGTCGTAATTTATGCATTTCCAGTAGACTTGGCTTTACTTGACTTAGTTTAACTTGATTTAGATCTCGTTGTCGAAGATGAATCATACACGATGCATTTATTTGCGCCCGAGGTACACTGAAGACTGATTGCAAAGGTGAAACACATGAAACCAAATTATAACGGGTAACTATATTTTTGTTTAGCAAATATTCCATAGCTCTGATGATATAAGCTACTTTTGGCTCTTGCCGAATTTGGTGGAATTCGTATAAGGGTCACCTGGCTAGGCACCTAACTATGGAGGCGATGCACTTCGCAAACCCCAGATGAACTTTTGTGGGTAGCTGTGATGATAGCGATCAGTGACGACACCACTAACGAACTCCAGGACTATCCGCCCTCTCTTGAAACAAACTCACCTGGAAGGACTCTAAAGTTTCATTATTCAAGATATTTGAAACTACTTTGATACCGTCGGTGGACAAGTCTGTTTTCGGGAAACTGAAGCTAACACTACACGTCTTTAACAGGCTGTATTGCTTAGCTGAACGCGAATCACAGAATTTGTGTAGACGGCTTACATTTGTGAACTAGTAAGATAGAAATATATGATTTCATATATTTTTTCATCTGACATTAAGCCCATGAATCCAACCATACAAACTGAGATAAAAAATGTATGACAGGTAATGCCAAAGTGAGCGCTATGCATCACAGGGGTAATGGTTTAAGTCGTCTAAATCCTCAGATACATAATCTTGTGAGGTTAATGTGAGTGCTTACTGAGTAGAGTGAATAGACGAAATGTGATAAGATAGCGTCCTTTTTTGTTCTCAATAGTCGGTACATTTGCTCGGGCTGAAACCGCAGCTCAACAGGATTTCGGTCTTTTAGAACCGCAAAATATACTTTAATTCAACTTTTGGAGTATCCGTACTTACCTTCGCCGTATCGATTCCTTTGTTTACTGACCATGAAGAGGTTATGTAGTCAATCACACGTTCTCCCAGCTCCTGAGGAACCTCATGAATTCGTAGAAAATCCTTTACTCCTTTCATTATCTCATTGTATCTTGTCCTGGTTGCGTACAGTTCCTGAACGATAGTTGTTATATTTCCAAATATTGTTGCATAGACGAGAGCTATTTGACAAACAAAGGGGACAGCGATAACGCTACAGTTAATCAGGCTGCTCTACTTTTACCGCTAACAGAACGACAATTGAAAGGTAAACCAAGTCCTTTGAAGTGCCGATCAACCTCTTACCGCAGTTGCATCTTTATTTGGGCACCGATTGTGACACCTGCTTTGCATTAATCTTGACAATAAGGTGGCAGACATATGTGCATAGACAACATGGTGCGCAAGTAATCATCAATGGAACCGCTTGTGCCATGAAGTAATACCATGCAGACACTTAGTTGTCCTCTTAGTGAGGAGCTAGGAGTTAAGAGTTGCGCACGGTTACGTGTTCAGCTGCCACAAAACGAGTTTTGGCTACCCCAGTCAGTGGACGTCGTCCAACTATAAGCAAAGCCGACTCATCAACTGTCTCAACGCTGGTCTGAATGCAAATGAAGATTATGGAAAAACACAGGTTTCATGTGACAGCTTCATTCCAATCGATCTCTGATGGCAGCGTGGTGTTGTCTTCACCAGACTTAGGCACTGGATCACGGTGGGTATAAGGCTTACACATTTAGCAGTTCCGGTAGGTGGATAAACAGTGTACCACTAATGCTTCTAAATTGTGTTATGCCCTCAGGCTGAAATTGTGGAAGCTGGTGAGGTGACAACCCAAAGAAAAGTTTTTACGCTATTTATGGTAGATCCGTACGGACGCTTCCAACTTGGGAAGTAGCTTTGGTGTTGACACTTTAATCTTATTATTGTGGAAACGAACCCAGACTTTGTTTACGTATTTATGCGTAAAAAAATCTATTTTCGGATACTTTCATCTCGGTTTCACTCACCTCCAATCAACATGCACACGCATGATAACAACTTCTCGGTCTCAGTGAACGCTGCTACATTTCCAAACCCAATGGTTGTTAAAAGGGATAAACTAAAGTACAGTGCAGTCACGTAGGCTGACCACTTGTCCACGGAATTTTGTAGGGGAGCATGCCTTTTTGAGCCACCGTCCTTCTCATCTGACTCCACGCGGGTGCCGCGAACTAGGACCGAATTTTCTGAAGAATAATTATCCCACCAAATTTTCAAATTTTCCGTTTCTGTAGATTGATAGTATGGATGAGCATCTTGAGGGAATGTCACGTTGGGGAAAAAGTAATCCGCGTTGATGAATTCATCCCAGTTTTGTGGTTTTAGGGAATCATTAAAATATCGTGGAATCCATCCATACTGGATTTTATTTTCCAGATCAAGCACACCGACTGCATACCAAGCACAGGCGAACCAGTGAGCCAAAAGGAAGAAGCACAAGATCATTAATAGCAATAGAGTGGAAACATATTCCAAATACTGGTCGATTCGTCGAGCTGCTCTGCCTATTCGCAGTAAGCGAATAATCCGTAGACCGTCCAGCAAACCATGGATACTCTGTTTAAAAAAAAAACAGGACAATACGACTGAAGGTAGTAACACAAAGCAAAGCAGCGAAACCTAGTGGTTTTAGACAGGTTGATAGAAATAAATAATTTCAGCAGTTGGACGCTTGAGGATATTTCTTGAACCCAATGCCAAACGAAACTTCCGACATCAAATTTTTCAGACAAGGCGGGCCCATGACACTTACCAGTTCTATTCCTCTTATCGTCTTTGTCCCCACTCTCTAATGACATTTAACCGAGGGTTTTTAATAAGGCGCAAAAACAAACTATATTGTACCATACGTCCTAATGCACAACTTTAGAATTTGAAAATTCAAACTTTGTCGCGCTGTCACATGAAATGTAAAGGAGAGAGTGAATGGTCCAGTGAGACAACTAAATGGTGAAGAAGATGAACATCGTTCCGTTTTTGTTTCAGAAAATTGTATATCTGATTCTTTAGGCACTCGAGATGTAGTGTACGGCATCTTTGGAGCTCTGTTTGCATGGTTGATCCACTCTGTGCTGTGTGGTCGAGACTGTCGCAGTACACAGAAAAAGTGGCAAATCAAAGCGCATTTGCACGCACGAGTGTACGTGTGGAATCACGTACCACAGTGGAAGGAAGGGAAGTTGACAGTGCTTTTGGCGATATTTACCGAAATATCTGTTTAGGATCGATGATGAGCTAATAGGATTTCAGCTCTTGGTCACTGGAGGATATCCAGTGACCTGCGTTGGACGGAGGAAAAGACCATAAGGCAGCTAAAATCTTGCTCGTAGGGACTTTGATATTCTCTCTATTCCGGTTCACCAAGCTAATGCTGAGCATTCCCTGTGTATTCCTTTGACTTTATTTAGAAATTTCACTGCGTTTTCTGCCGCCTCCTTCATTGTCTGCTACCCACTGTACATTCCCTATTTTGGTTCGCCAAATCTACCTGGCTTTTTCCGTTCGCACCTCCGTTCCGATTCATAATGGTAGCCTCCGTTATAGCAACATGCGTACGCTTAGTTCAACTTCGTTGAGTAGTTCATGGGTGATTTGGTTTTTAAGAAATTTTGCTTGCACGTTTAATGCAAGGCTGACAGGTAGAGGAAGATATTGCCGCAAAATTATATTGACAAACAATCTTACCAGAACTCCTTTTCTCTGGGAATGTTTCCAATCCGTTTACGGGAATGAACGCCGTGGTCTAGTAAAGCATCAAACGTGAGCGCCACTCAATGTTCAGGCTACTTCTTATCCCAAACCTCTTGGATGAGAGACTGGATAAGCTACCATTCTTCTGTGGCTCAAGTGTCGAAATTTTTATCCAATTGTGTCAGCGTCAGATTTGTGTTTCTAACATGCGGCTGCATCCTGTAAAAGAAGCCAATCTATGCTGAAAAGCCCATAGGCATTGCATAGCTGTTTCGTCTTTACTGGGAATACCCAACAGTACGCATCTCATGAAATGCAGAGAAGCTTCGAACCAGCGGCATCCAAGCTAGTGCTTTGTACATAAATAACCTTTCTACCAGAATTTAACCGTCAGCCACTCGTAGCGGACCGGTTAAGAGTTTAAAATACCAGCCAGGAAGTCTCCGGTTCGAGGCCTCCTTGATTTTTGCAAGACATTACTTTTGGGGATTCCCAATAAGGAACTGCACAGTTTTCCTCGGCTTTACGGCATAGAGTGGCTTTAGTAACATGAAGAAGTCTCGTTGGAAAGCATTCAGTTGTATTTGGACGAGCTCTGGTATTCTAGTTCTTCGAAAATACAGAATGATACTTAGCTTCCGGTTGGGTGACGGCTGTTTGGTTAAAAAACAATGGAATATGTGGAATGTCCTTATCTCCTAGCTATTCAGTCGCTCAAGGCTTATTGGCAGACTGGGTGACAAACACAGAAAAACGGCAGCTCCTAGTGATCTTCGGAATTCGTGAGGGTACAAAGAATGCAGTAAAAGAATACAACGGCTTTTATTATTTGGATGAAATGTACAACCCTACTACCAAATCTTCAAACGAACCCGATTATTGAAGAGCCATTTCAAGAACCAACACCCTATCCGCGGTTTCGTGAACCAAATCCTAGAAATGCGTAACTTGCTGAAGGCTTTCGACACACATTCGTGCAGCTACAAAACGCTTTATGTTGTACGTATAAAAAGTAAAGGTTTGAAGCTTTAAACTGATCTAGGATGAGCTCGAATCACCGAGTACTGAATTTGTGCCCTCGAAACCAAGTTATCAACAATGCTACCAACCGTCGAAACTTCGAATTCGCACCACTTTAGCGACACCTCTCTCTGATCTCTATAAAAGCCAGTACTTGGTCTGTTATGCGGTTCTTGAAACGGCCTAGATGTTGATATCTTTTAGATGCCAACCGAACGTTTGTGGAAATTGATGTAGACTGCAGTATAGTCGAACATATTTTGAAATGTAAGGTTCAATTGAACATAGTGCGGATAGAAAGACACGTCTATAAGTGAAAATTACATTTCGACATTTATCCAAAAAGGAAAAATATCCACTCTTAGTATAAAATTCACTGATTTAGCAAGGAGCAATGGTATTTATTGTCATTGTGCTAATCACCCCATAGTTTTGATGTCTACCTTGGCCGACATATTTTCGACAAGAAGTTTTGATGGTTGATGTCAAAATTTCTCTTAACTGACAATACATTGTCCCAAAACATGGCGCCAAGATATCTGAAGATTTCTGATTTTACAAAGAATTAAAGAAAACGGTATAGTAAGTGACAAATTACTGTGGAGTTAAGTCCGGGAATCGGTTTATTGATTTTGAGACTTAGAAACTTGTTTGAAGGTGATTTAAAGGGCTGCGAGAAATGACTATGTTTATCCCGTGTTAACATTTTATAACAGAAGTGAAATGCACACCATAGGGGTAATTACATTCATCTTGCACTCAAAAATGTATACAGAAAACGAGGAGTCTAATACTAAGATTGTGTTAGCCATGAACATATAGTAAAATAAGATATGGAGCGCAAGTGATGAAAAATGATTAAATCAAGTAATAATATTCCTCTGAATACCCCAAGGGCGATATCACGGGTCGATATGGAAATATAAGAGGGGAGGAAATTGGATTTAAAACTGCAGGTCCCCAGGCTTCCATACGTCATTGTTATCAATATCATCAGCGGCAACGGCGCCCTCATATTCGTGATCGTGGGTGGTAATCTGAACACGTATGGTCGCAGAAATGAATACGCGAAGTAAATATGCGCAAAATATCTTGTTTTCCGAAGCTTGCAGTTTCAACAAGACCAAATGAAAAGACTTTTTGCAGGATGGGACAATTAACTTTATGATCAGCCATCTGAGCTAAAAATGTTTTAAGTTATCTGATTTTGATGACCTAAACTAGGCTAGTATATACTAGTATAGTATAGACTAACTCAGAATTTTTCAACGTACTTCAGTCCTCCGCTTGAGAAGCATTCCACAAGGCATGAGGGTTTTTTAAACGCATTACTTTTCCCATGACGTTCTCCCTTGTAAAAAATTCGCCTTAACCATTTTCACACAAAAAGCACGATGATAAATGCGCTCTTTGTTATTATCCAACATTTTCAACAATTTACGATTACATCTCGCTTGTCCTGACGAACGACTTGGTCCTGGCTGCGCACACCAACCTATTTCGGAGTTGCAGTATGGACCGGAAGTGATGAACCTGGAGAATATGGCAAAACAACTCATCCTGGATCACTGAACACCTGATTTTCCGATATTTGAAATAGTAGCTGTCGCCCTTTAAGGGATTCTTGTCCAGTGGTTTGAATAGTTGGCTAAACAAATATTCTATGAAAACCGAGATGACCAAAGCAGGAGGCCATCATGCAGGTTCGCTTTGCTGTGCTAGCAAGTGGAAATCACATAAATGGCAGATTATTAAATATCCGTGATAATCCCCGAGACTAAAGTCGTATTATTACGTAAGCTTATGAAAAGTAATTGAACTGCAGAAATCATGATATGCCAATCTGTCTGAACACTCTTCAGGTGAGTAAGACCATAGACAAGTTGGAGATTTTGCATCTTTCAAAGTTGAAGCTTGTGGATCTCTCAAAAGGCTGTCCTGAATACTCGAAGTTAATCTGATATGGACTGAATACACCGCAATAATTTTTCCGGATTCACTGCAATGTGGGCAGCATGCTTTGGCCAACAGACCTAATCTTTTGTTTGCGTGTTTCCGCTCATTCAAGTAACACTTACGCGGTTCTAAAGTGTCTTCACTGGGATGATGACAGACAGGTTAATCACCTAAGAGATGGGTTGGATTTTCACTCGAAATCTGGGTACCGATATTGAACTTACGCAACCAGACATCTTGAAAGTGGAAGCATCACGGAAGTGAATACGTAACATTCACTATGGCAACAAGAGTACCATTGACAATACGGGGCATAAAAGTATCTTTAGCGTTCTGGATCCCGTTTCCATACACACAATTCGAACCGCCGATGGCCGTGCATGCGTTTTACTTTCTGACACACACCGTCTGAATTTGAAACTGACTTGCGTATATACTTTTCTTCCCTTCTAGTAAAAAATCATACTAGCCTCTTCTTTTTTATAATAATATACACGTACAAACTGAATGTTTACGCTCATCCGGTGCAGTATTTTGCCGTGATGTTATACGGGCATCAGCTACAAGGTAGATTCTTACAACGAGTGGACTTTCGGTATTTGATCGTTCCTGCTTACTTTTTGGTGCTGCTGTCTTTGTAACGCATGAATACGTTCGAAAATCATAATATATCCAAAAATTCAGGTGTATTCAGCGCAACGTTAAACGTTGTGTGATAGTTCTCTAAGGTCTGTTTTCGATACCACGAGCTTCAGAAGATTTTGGACCAAGTTTAGATATGGATTTGGACCAAGCGTCGGAGACTCCAATGATTTGGAACAAAGAAAAAATGCAAATGAACTTCTAACCTGTTTTTCAAAAAAACATCAATTATGTCACTACCTGCTTCTAATCTGCGCAGAAGCCGATGGTTGTGACAAAGGAGTTTACTAAGTCTGTGTTTTAGGCTTATAAACCGGCAGAAGATGAACCTATTTAAATTCAAGTGACTTTGTTCAAACAAACATTCCTTTTTCCTAATAACCATTCGATATTTCAAACTGCAAGCAAGAAAGGCAGTGACATTCAAGTGACATTCCTAAGTGCGAATTATCAGAAGGACCATCATTCTTCCTGAGGGTCATCAAACGTGTTTCATGTCAGCTTCTGCACCACAACTGGGAGGAATGCTGNCCGATCACTCTTAATCACTCCAAAAATGAAGGAAATTTTAAAAAAATCTGAACACAACCATACTAACCCGACAAAAATAATCAGGGACGTCAATTAACGAATTTTTTACTCCGTGTGTTCGGTGTAATGGTCATGATGGTGAGTACCAAACCTGCTTCCAGATTGTGACCGAGGGTTAGAAACATCATTGATAGGGATATTATGAATCCACATTAAGTTCTGAAAATAGCCCTGCGTCTCTACGTAGCTAAAAGATTTATAATCCTTACGTAATAAAATGTTTCTCAACCCAGAGAAAACTCGACCTTGTATACAATTCTTAGTCTTTCGAAATCGCTTACACCGGGAGAAAAATTCGAGGTCGCAATGAACCAAACCGTCGAAAATGCAAATGGCCGGCCAAATATTATTTTCGCACAACGGACGCTTATATCAATTTTCATTTGACAGGTTCTCTAGACTACAATGAATGCAGTTCTATCGGTTTTTTCCCTATTTCACTCCACAGGACTAGCGTTACGTTATCATTAGCTAACTCACCAGTCGTTATCATGTTCGACACCTTCTTCCATTTATCATCAGCCTGCCCATCCCAATGGAGTAGTTGTTTCCTTTCACTCATGAAGGAACCTGAAAGTTAAATTGCTTCAAAACTGCTGGTAAGCAGACTATAGTGCTTTTACTCCCTCAAAATGAGCAACTATCTCCTTTTCAATCTACGTAACCCGACGCAAATCCCCTTGAAAATATTCTAAATGTTTGCCAGACTGCACTCTATTAGCGCACGCGCGACAAAACGATTGCGGAAATCGAATTGATGACAGTGACTACATTTCATAAAATGCTAAAACTTACTTGCATCTTTCAAGCCGCATTCTAGTAATTTTGATAAAAAGTGTATATTTGTTTGTGCTTGTTACAATCAAGAGTAAATTTAAAAAATTATCATTAGTTGAATACTCACCTGGTTTTTTGCTGGCCAAATATACTTGAAGACTTCATATGGAAGACAGGAAAGCAAGTCCAAAGTAAACCAACCACTGAGGTAATTTGTCCTTATAATGGGCGGTTCGGCAACTACTTCTCCGCCGGCTCCAACAAAAGATGTATGAAAATTTAGTACAATGTCCAGACAAAAGATGATATCGATCACTGCATCCGCAATGGCAAGAGAGTCTGGCACATTTAAACGAGTTGTCCTTATTGCTGAAGTATAGTCGTGTGGCGAACGACCCCAAGTAGGGCGCGGAATAATAGCTAGACGTAAAGGAACCACCACAGCTGTGTAGCCTGTTAACAGGAGAATCGTCCAGTCCCAAAGGACTCGAAAGGCGGAATAGTGGAGAAGCACATGTTTAGGTGGGCAAGGTGGTTCAAGTCGATAGCGTGGCGCGGTGTCACCCGAAAGCCAGTGACTCGGAGTGTAGTCGTCTGCATCCACATTCAGTCCGGTATGCTTGGTAATCAAAGTAGACAAAAGGAAATAAAAAGGTATTTGAAGCTCCTGGACTATATTGTGCACCAGACAGAAAAAGCGGGCAGTTTAGCAACGGAGCCAAGTTTCTTTAGAACCTGTCAATTATCCTGATAATTCGCTTTTCTATGTGCTGCTTAAAATTATGACTTAGTTTACAAAGATCTCCGATCTTCACATTATGCGACAATCAGAGATAGTAAAACACCAGGTTCATGTGAATAATACTCACTTTCCGAGATTATTCTCTGTGTGCCTTATATGCATAAATTTTCCACCTACATTCATTCTACGATGAAGAGTATTCCGCGTCGATAACGCCGCTTAAATCCAATCTATAATTAATGAAGAAGGTAGCCTTGTTTAACGGTCGACAGTTCACTGGAGATTTTGCACCAGAGAGCAACAGGTTATAAAGTTTTCGGAAGAGTTGGCCACATCGCACAGACTCTTTTTGAGTCTCATCATACGAGGGTAGTGGAAACCAGTCAGTTGAAATTGTGACCAGCGGTTTTATGTTGCCGAATTCAACGCAACTACTGCTACTTGTGACCTGAGGCATTTAAACATTGAACTCAAAACGCAACAAACTTTGGGTAAATGTGCTGATGCCATGACTGACGCATTTTAGTGAAAACTGTTCAACAATCTGTGCAACCAAAATATGCTCACATTAGCAATGATGGAGATACTGATGATAGCATTGATCCATAACATCAGGGGTGGACTTGATCCACTCTGAACAAAATTCATCAAGTGATTCGCACTTTGTTCCATTGGATAAACCCAGCCGTCTTTATGTTATTATCTAATATTCTTATTTCGCTTACGATCTCTATTTTTAGCGCTAGCGTTGGGTATCCACTTCTATACGACCTGGAGAAATAATTAATTCCTTATAGTTTACGAACAAACATGTGGTTGTTTTTAGAGCCAGTGTACTGGATGAAACCTCCTACTTGAGAACTTTATGCTTAACTCAGCTTGATTATTACGTTAAAGGTTAGAGTAACATTTTTGATGTATATTATTGCTTGATATTTCACTGTTCGTCCTCGAGGCTTCCCTCTATATTACTGGTGAAAATATCAGAAATTACTCCGGACGATTTTTAACAGAAATTAAAAACTGTCATATCTGCTGATTCGCCAATCTATTGTATCTGACTACTGATCCGCTTAAGTGCCTAGTGCCGGAAAAAGAATCCCAGAAGGGAACACGACAGCTATATTCCGAACAAGCGTGTGCGAGAACGTGAGTGCCTGCGAGCGCGGAAACACAACGACGTCAAGCTAGTTATCGGAGCGACTCTGCCTGAACTTGGTCCAAAGGTGATGCACACTATCGGGCTTTGATGCAAGGCTGTGACGCGCTGTATATTGCGAGGGTGCTGTCTAACCTTGATCAACGGTGACTTGCGCTGTCTGGGTTTTTCTATGAGGCTTTGACGCGCTGCATATTGAGGGGACACTGTCTGTCTGGTCAGCATCTAGAGGAGCTGAGGTCCTCAGTAGATTTCAGGCATTCAATGGTTGCTTTCGGAAATCTGACCTTCCTGATACCAAACCCTTTTGGCCGTTCAACGTTAGACTGTCAACGCGAATAAGATTGTAAAGGTTCCCCCAGTTTTCTAGCGCAACCGGTATGACATCTCGGCTGCAGCAACGCATCTGTCTTTTGTGGTACATACGAGGCAGTGGTGCCGGTCTTGTGAGATCAACAGTTTCAAGCAGCAGGTTGATGTATAGTAAATGTTCTTCCGCCTTTGGAATCGGGCACTCAGTCGGCCGTAATTGATTGACTTGTCGTTCCATATCAATAATCCCACCTGAACGCCATGAATCACCAGACGGATTCTTTTGAGGACGACTTCAACAGTCCATCTTCGGTGCCCGGAGCGATACTCCCTCACAAGCACACGGGTTCCAGACCGAAAAGTTGGATTCTCTCCTGTCTGTGTTGCTGAACACAAGTTTTCGATCGGCAGTGTTGAAAGAGGCAAGCGATCGACCTATTCTATGCCCAGGAGATTAAGCAGCAAGATAGGCAATACCACATTCACAGTGGCCTGCTTAGAAATACTGAATACAGTTCAATGTGCTTGGACATGAGACATTTCGCCTTTGATATCAATTGGACATCTGGCAGGAGAGATTGATTTCTTACCAATTCTACATGAAGTCCAGAGTCACAATAAAAAGAAGTTTCCCGAAGTTTCAGGCTCCTAGTTGATTTTCATCAAGGCAGTTCAAAAAGTACTCTCTAACTTTCCTGTAACTCATCGTGTGTACCTTTATTTTTAATATATATTCTTTTTTCGTTCCTAAACAAACTGTTCGGGTTACTCGTGAGGTTTTGTAGTGCATGCAACGTCGTCTGTGGATTTCCGAACTGTGTATTATTTTACAACGCGTCCTTTTCAGAATCGTTATTTGTAATCAGATTCATCGTAATTTAAGCGACGCCAGTGCCATTCATTATTCTTTGGTGTTAATGGTTGAAACTTCCTTGCTGTAGCATCTATGTAGTAGTTTACGCCTGAGTATCAGAATCCATATTATATCCAAACAGTTTGTATTTCACCTTATAAACTTTGTTTCTCAAAAGCTTAATAGGCCTTGATTTGAAATAGTAGGTACAGTCGTCTTGTATTCAAACACCTGATCACTCGATCATCATGGACAGCCATATATCCGCGATGAAACTGTACGCAGGCGAGTACTTGGTAAGAGCAGGAAACGGAACTTATCAGATTAGGGGCCCTGAGGTGGGCAACATTCATGTCCGTCTAATTTCTAACAAAAGGCATTCTTATTCTCTTTCAAAACGTTCGGTCCCGTAAGGAAAAGGCTGTTTAGAGACCAGTTCCAACCGAATAAACAGGCTGGTACAAGTTTCGGCCTATTTTCACTTGCATAAATTTGGCAAAAGCGCGTAAGGTAATTCCAGTGTTTGCCTCCAATTCCAACATGACCCTAGACTACGTGTATTTTATTGTTACTTGGAGGTGTGATCAATCTTTTCATTTTGTTTTGGGCCAAGTTTTTGCTGCTTTCCCCCCAAAATTTTTCCTTCCTTGTGGTTGCGTGACAGCTAAGCAGAGATGTGCACCGTTAATTGTTTGCCGATGACAATGTTTTTTCTACCAAAAGTATGTAACACAAAGTTCACAAAAAAACGGTCATCGCTTGCTCTAATACTCAGCGGTTGCTACTATTTGGATTCGAAATTCAAAATGTTATCTTACTTACTGTCCACAAAAGGGACAAATATTTACTCTATTCTAGAAAAATTCAGACTTTTTCCACCGTGCGAATAAGTCGAGTCCTCGACCAGAAGATGCGTCGTTTTTCAGGACTCTTTTTGGATGCGACTAATTGCAACTATTCACCAACGGTTAATAAAATTATGTCAGTCCCTTTCAAGCATTCATGTTATGCCGCTCGGTCAAAATTATCTTTGTAAGCCCATCCACAAAAGATTTTTTTGTTCGGCATGAACAAGCTCTTGAATTCTTTGGAAAATACTACTAGGTTCATCCCATCACTGATAATTTTCATACTTTTCTGTCGTGATTATGGTTTCAGATAACTTTATTGACAAAAAATTCAAACTCACCGAAATTCACTAACACATTTTCTGATACGTTACTATGTGTACCGATTCTGCATTCTACCGCGAAAGCTCAGAATAGGTAAACCGAACGGATCTTTTAAAACGACTAAGAAACACTCGTTGGTTCTCTTGGACACAGGGAAGTAAGAGTGTCGCAACCTTCAAATTCAAACATTTTGCGTCAGTAGTGATGATAAGCTGACATGCCCTGGTTCAGACAATGCGTGCAATCGCCGAGAGTTTTCTGTCGGCGGTGTGTGATATCCTGACTTTAGATGTCCGTTTCCCCTTCTCACTCTGGAAGCCATGTATCAAAGTTATACATATTGGAATTGAGCTGTCTATGCACCAGGGGGTTCATGCGAATGAAACGACCAAATTTAAAACCTTCTAACATAAATCTAAAAAACAATTATTGTTTATTTGAAATGGTTACTAAACGGGAAACTCATCTTCATTGTGCTTTTGAGACTGAACGTTGGCTTGATTCCACTTATATGAAACAAAACGGTGAAAGTTGCAGGTCACGAAATGCAATCCTAATCAGCTGCTACCAGGTCCTGCCTTCGAAATCGTAATACGCTAATCTCATTCCAATCTCATCATGGTTTTATTCTGCTCGCTTTGCACCTATCCTTAGATTAAGTCTCTGCCTGTCGAACGGAACGAAACAGTTAGGATTATTCTCGATGTTCCCTGTCGATAAAGTTTCGACCAACGGTGGATTGTTAGCAAAATACCTCAGGGAATTCTTTTTCTGCTGCTTTGACACGAACACAAAATGTTTGATCCTCAGCACTTTTCATGGGGTATTTTGTACACGTAGTAAATGGTATAAAAAGACTATCATTGTTTTAACTTTCTATATCCTTTGATGTACCGTCTGGTGGGCACAGATGGAAAATAAAAACAATACAGTGTGTTTTATATGGATTCTACCCTTGAAAGGGCATATTTAGCCACTTTATTAAGTAAGGCGGTTGCCAAGGCACATCCTGTTTTTCCACCGATATCCCCACTTGCCATGAGCCTTTTTCCATTAAGGTGTACCTAAACACACGGATTAGAATGTGTATCTGATAGCTGTATCTAGTGAAAATGTTTGCAGCTGAGCACTTAGTATCTTGACATGATAGATGACTTTTAATCTTAGACGATAGTTCTTACAGCGTACAAAACGTATCACCTCATTCTTCAACCAGTTGTTGTAATATACTCAATGTTTTCTCGGATTGTTCAGTCTAGTTACAATTTGTTTAATGTAATGGCAGAGTTAGCTACCGATGCGGTTTACGTTACAGTGCAACCGGTTGCATGATCAAGCGTAGACGCTGTACAACTCGACGCACATCACAGATCATGAATTCAGGTTGTCACTGGGTGCTCTAGCCACATGCTTTTCACAGAGGGTTAATCAATA